GATTATATTTTTTACCTCCACCTCTGTGATTTCCTCCAGGTCAAAAACGGGGTGTATATTCACAGTCGGGCTAGGTGAGACCTCAGATGGCGGGAAGAGCTTTGTGATGTCCAAAGCACTATTTATGAAATACTCATTGAGAGAGTTGGCCAACACTGCAGGGTCTTTCATCAGGGTATCATTGATTTTTTATTCTAAAACATTATTTTCCTGTTTGGTATGTTTACCTAATAGTTTATTTAAGATTTGCCAAACTTTTTTACCGTTACCTTTTGCACCTTCAATTATGTTGATGAAGAAGTTCGCTTTGGCCTGTCTTATTGTTTGTGTTCAACTTAAGATAGGTGGTTTAAACAGATATTGATTGCTTTAAACATTTAATCTACTGGAGGTTTTGTCCAGATGTTGAGACAGATGTTGTCTTTCATTTCTTTGCTCAAACCCGATAACAGAGAGTGGAGGTAAACAAAGTAATACAATGTAAGCACAAAATGTAGTAATGCCTCTTTCCAGAAGAATCTCCCATAGGTCATCCACAGAAAACAATTGTGGACTTTGGAGGATTTCTTCATTAGAATCTAGCAATGTTGTAACGCTTTATCTGTGACTAGGAAAATACAATCTGTGCAGGTAGATATCTCTACAGGAGAGTATAGGGAATCTTCAAATTACATTCGTGTTAATCTGCTCCTTGTTCAGAAGGGGGAGGCAGGTCCTTAAAATGAGCACTAAAACAGACTGCTGTAGTCAAATCTGCCACCCTTTTTCTTCTTTCCTATTCTCAGTTGTCCTTGCATGTTCTTGTAATTTTTAGTCGTTGTGCTGAATAAAACATTTATTTAATTTGTCTTGGAGAACCCAACACTCTGTGTCCCTTTTTTGACAGAGATATTTTCTAGTAGAAGAAGAATAGAATAGGGAGGGATGAAACCCTCTTTAATGGTCACACATGCAGAGCACACAGTGAAATTTGGCCTCTGCTTTTAACCCATCCTAGTACAAGGAGTCTAGTACTAGGAGCAGTGGCTCTGCTTGTGTGTGTCGTGTCTTGTAGCCAGTCCAAAAGCATGTGGGATCTATAATAGTGTGTCCTGCAAGGCGACTCTTATTAGTACAGCCACCCACTATGGACAAATAGAACAAGCGGTTCATTTCACTGAGACATTTAAAGTAATCACTTCACTGCAATTTCTAACCAAAGTCATCCAGTGTTTTTTGCCCTCAGGGTGTTTGTTTTACAACCCTAACTTTAATCTTTGTTATGACATTATGAATGGACTGTACTTATGTAGTGCTTTATCAGGTCTCACCCTCAAAGTGCACACACCGTTGGCCATCGGGGGCCACTGAGGGTCCAGTATCTGCCCAAGGACACATCCACATGTTGAATGCACAGCTGGGATCCAACCCACAACCTTCTGGTTGAAGGACGACTGCACTCCGTCTCAGCCACATTTAAGGTAAATGCACCATGTTGTTATGACCTGAAAGAATATGAACACCGAACTTTGACCCCTTGACAGTTTAGGCAGTTTATTGTGCCATTAATCCCGGCTGCAGCAGTTTACTGCCATGACTTTCTTCATAGTGATTTGAAATTGGTGAAGTTACGTTTCCTCCACTCTCTGCCTGTTTCCTTCCTTTTCTCCGGGCTCCTCAGGGCCGGCCCTTTGAACTTTTCATCCCAGTTCAAGGGAACAAAAGCAAACAAATCACATTGTCCTTTTGGGAATTTTGGCTTGTTCGCTGCCTTTCATGACTTCTTCTTTAGGCACCTCTCTGCCTCTGCTCATTCAGGGTGCCCAGGCAAGTCAATGGTTCCTTACATCCTAGTTTGACAACTCAGGAGGATACACACTAATCCCTTTAATCTGGCCTTTCTCCAGAGAGCAGCCACAGGGAGAGAGGGACCACAGAGGTAATCCTGTCGGAGAAACAATAGGATTAAGGGCCCAACAATCAGGTATCAACTGACTGATCTGCAAAGCAGGAGCCCCGTCCGCTCTCTCTTCAATGTGACTTTATTTTTGTTTGGCGGGCCTGAGAGGGATGGGGTGAGGGAGGGGAGGGACGGGTGGGTCGAGCCGGTAGGGAGGATATTTCTTTGAGGGGCTGCTGGAGGTCTGACAGGCCTGTAGTCCTCTGAGCACCGGGGACCCAGGAATGACTGACAGGTGAAGGGTGAGAGCTGGGAGGGTTGGTGTGGGAGGCTGGGAGTCTTCCTTTTCTTGATTCCTTTTCTCTTACGGTATTTGAGGTGACTGTAATCTGGCACACACACACTCACTAACTGGTAGCTTGGTCATTTTCCATTGTGTTGCAAACTTGAAGATATTGTTCCTCTTAAGGAATGCATGGAATCATTTGATTTACTATAGAAATAAAAAACTACCTATCAAATGCAGCTTATCAAACACGTCAGAAATAAATAATTTAATTTAAAAAAGGAGTTCAGTTATTTCCCAAAACAGCATCTTCCTGTAGTTTTTCTAGTTTTGTAGCTTTCTTTAGACCCGAGGAAATAGGGAAGGATTCTTTCTTTTAGCGATTGGTTAACGCTCATTTAAAAATCATCATGTCAAATGTCAAAAAAGGACATAGATAGAACATTAATGTTATATTTGAGCACCCGGTCTCAAAATATTCATCATATTTATACAAAGTGACAAAATACATATCCAGGCATACACATCTTTTTGGACAATTTACACACAAGTGAAACTCACAAGCAACTGAGGTTTTTTTTATGTTATTACAAAAATATGACTGTATTATGCGCTCTCTTTGCTGTCACATTAACAGTAATACATCATACTTGTTTTGAATTTTGGAAATGTGTCCAAATGGATAGAGGGGTTCCAGCATTACAAGCAGTAGGTAAAGAGTGTGACCAGATGAAGCCTCTGCTGCTATGATCAACATCTGATGTTCAGCGGATGAACCCCAGATGGCGCCATTGACAAGTGTTCAGCAGGACTCTCAGTCAGACTCATTGAAACAACACGCTGGTTAAACTAGCAGGAGCAGGACTCAAGTGAGGTGACCCAGTGGGGACAAAGGTAGGCTTAAGGGCCACAGGGGTCATCCTGAATGCTTTTAATAGTTAGTGTGCTGGACAGAAAACAATAAAGAGATTATCCTCTGTTCATAACTAAGGAATATAGCAACATGGAATAGCTCAACATTAAATACGCAGAGAAGATCGTTCTTTTCACAAATGAGATAAGGCTATGAATACAGCAGCCGCAGCAGTTTGATGACGGCTGCCTCCTCATTAAACAACATCCTGTACCATTGTGGAACGGCAGGAGATACCGGGCAGAGTTACTGCTAACACAATAAGCTTTACCAGTGGACGGCAGGTCTTATATACTCGCCCTGGCTACTGATCATCTTTAACAATGAATATCTGGTGTGGAGGATAACTGTGGAGACTTCCCCCACCCTCTATGATTAATTCAAGTATCAGAAGTCCCTGTAGGTCACATCTCCTGCATGGGTGTGCAATGTCTGTACGCACCCTGGCACACCTCTTATGTGGCCCTGCATATTAGCTAATGGAAGACACATGATCCAATATATGCCATTAATGGCAGCAGGGACAGTCACAGAGGACACACACACACACACACACACACACACACACACACACACACACACACACACACACACACACACACACACACACACACACACACACACACACACACACACACACACACACACACACACACACACACACACACACACACACACACACACACACACACACACACACACACACACACACACACACACACACAGTTGTGAAACACCAGGTGCACTGTATGTGTGCCGAGAGGGTCCAGATGTGAGATGATGTAGATTTGATCTGTGTCCATCACATTGATCCTCACATTGTACGGAGTGGATTTAGGGGGTCACACACTCCAATCCCCTTCGGTGTGATCTCAGGTGCAGAGGTCAAATGTATGTCAACCCAAACAGTGTGTTTCCACAGTGATGAGGTGGGTTTGTCAAGAGGCTAATGTGCCTTAATCCCTTCCATAGCTCTGGGTGGATCCAGACAGCCACTTAAAAGAGTTTCCCTCACTGCAACTTATTTACTGGCTCAGCAGACGGTGTGTGATTGTGTGATTTTTATGTGTAGAGCATTTGTGCTCACAGTGCCTTAAGCTAATGGATTAGCCCCTTCCCAGCAGGCACCAGCATGCTCCTCATGTCCTACACATGAAATATGTCCAGCTTACTTTCAGTGTTTGGCTTTATTTTCACAGAGTATAGTATAGAGATTGTATTAGTCCTTTGTTAGCACCGACCTGGATGAAATGCTATTCCAAATCCCATTGATATTTGTAAATGGACATTTGTATTTGTTTGCACTTTTCCGACCACTAATAAAGCTTTACACTACATTTCAACATCCACACACACACACACACACACACACACACACACATACACACACACACACACACACACACACACACACACTCTGTAACTTGTCCAAGGACTGCCAGTCTTCTGATTGGTGGAGCTCTGCCTTAACTCCTGTACTCCTTTTTCCCTGGCCAATGTCCTTAAGAAACTCCAATGACCTGACACAAAGACACACCATGAAGCGGTGTTGAAGGTATAGCATTATGGTTGGGATACCTGCAGTCATTCACACAAACATGGAGGTGGGTAGGTAGAGCAGGGAGAGGCCATCTATTTTCATTTTCCTCTTTTTTTCCTCTATATCTCACAATCAAATACAGGTCTTTTACCAACAGCCTACTTTAAATAGTGTTCTGAATTAGTTAAATAACTAATACATCTTGACCAAGAGGAGGTTATTCTAGTGCTTGTTGATCAGTAGGTACAGCCTCTGCTGTTTCACCCATCCATACAGGCTGATACTGTTTAAGGTTTATATACATTTAAGAGGTCACCATTAAAATCCCACTGACATTTAGACTATTATGAATTATGAACTCATCTTAATAAGCACTTCCTCATGAAATATATCTTGTGAAAAAAGACAGCTTTATTGAACAGATTAATTTAAAATGATGTGTGTGTGTGTGTGTGTGTGTCATCTGATGTAGACATTGTTCTGTCTGAAGTCCAGTGAGTGCAGGGAGGAGGCGAGGGCAGCGTGCAAGTGAGAGCTGCTGAACCTCAGGCAGTACACAGGGCTGCTCACCGGGCGGGAGCTCAGCTGGAAGAACTGCACACAAAAAGGTACATTATAAAAAAACAACAGCAATAAGTGTATTGTGTAACATCTGCTCAGACATTGAGGATTTACCGCAGGTTACCTGCAGACATGCAGCCTGACGTTTGTCCCATAGACGCACCCCCCCGTAGTACGAGGAGCCGCTGGCTATCATGTGATTCCCGTCTGTCTGAAGGCAGTACAGAGCGCTGTCATGAGGCTCCTCCCACTCCATCACACACTTCCTGTTGGGAGCAAGGGGACAGTTTACACACATCACACTTAAAAATATGTCAAAGATATATGTGGAAGGGCTAAGTAGAGCATAAAAATGTAATATCTCTACGACACCAAGTCAAATTCCTCGTACGTGTAAACCTACCTGGTAATAAACCTGTTTCTGATTCTGATTTCCTGGTCTTTTATTGCCAAAGTGTCTTCACAAAGCATGTGCTTTAACCATAACCCGACACATTTGAATAGATAGTTCCATGGCAGAAAAAATGTATTGAACGAAGGGGTCAAATTAAATTGAATCCTGATCCCAAAGACTGACTGAAGTGTGTGAGAAACGGTCACAGTTATTTGAATTCAGTTGTGATTGTTGTGTCACTTTTATTTAAGATGACTAGATTTGATCCAATTTAAGTGTTCTGCATTACATAAGCACCAGGAGTGTGGCTGAGTCTGGGTCGGTTGGAGAAACTATTTTAAAATTATACTAGTCAAAAATGCTGCAGCTGAAAGCACTGAAAATGGAAAATGGAACTTTCAAACCATCAGAGCAGCAATAGATCTACCTGTGGATGTTGTGGAGTTTTGGAGACAGTGAAACTATAGTGTGTGTGTGTGTGTGTGTGTGTGTGTGTGTGTGTGTGTGTGTGTGTGTGTGTGTGTGTGTGTGTGTGTGTGTGTGTGTGTGTGTGTGTGTGTGTGTGTGTGTGTGTGTGTGTGTGCGCGCGCGCTGCTCGAGGCTGGGTGAGTGTCAGAGCAGGGGGACTGTGGTTCAGAGAGGGGAAGTATTTTGGGCATAAGTATTTTCTGCCAATAGACATCGATCCGCCATTAGTGCAGCCTCATCCATAAGTGATGGGAGGGACACCAGGGGCAGGCAGAGGGGCAGCAGAACACACACCCACACCCACCCACCCAACCGACACACACACACACACACACACACCCACCCACCCGACACACACACCCACCCACCCACCCACCCACCCGACACACACACACACCCACCCACCCACCCGACACACACACACACCCACCCACCCACCCACCCCACACACACACACACACACACACACACACACACACACACACACACACACACACACACACACACACACACACACACACACACACACACACACACACACACACACACACACACACACACACACACAGGAAGGTGACTTTATTGTCCTCCTGAAGAGCTGCAGACTGAGGAAGGTGAATTCATTGTATCTGTGTGAATAGAAAGCTGTAACACAGGGTGGCTGTTATCTCGAATATAAAATGGATGGAAACAATCTCAAACAAACCAAGCTAACTGATGTTCAAATAATAAAATGTGTTGGCAATGTCAGAAATGTAAATGACAGACAGATGTATATTTTCTTTTAGCATGTCACTTATTGTTATCATGGTAGCGATCCCTTTAATTTCTCTGGTAGCAACAGTTAGCAGGACCGAACACATTGATATCACAATAAAAAAGGATTGTTTCAATTGGTTCATATAGAGGAGACAATGAATTTTCATATATTTGATCGCAGCATGGGGACATGCAGGATGTGCACTTGTTTTATTGTCACAGTGCATTTCTATTCAGGGGTGAGCCCCGACTTCCAGACTACCTGAACCTCCTGGAAGACGGTTTGGGCGTATGAATTATCGATATCTAAAGAGGGACCCCCCTCTGCCAGCCCTCACCCCAGCCCAACCCCTCTCACAGTCCCCAGAGCAATCTGCCAATCAGATCTAATTTGTCTTACTTCACTGATTCACCCCCTCCAATACAACCTGAAACCTCTCTAACCCCCGCTTTCGACAATAAACGCTGCCTCCCCCAGCGATGGTCAGGACTGCTGCATCAATATGGAGAGCAGGGGGGGGGGGGGGGGGGGGGGGGGTCTGCTGCACGCTGCTAAAGGAACCTGGCATTGTGGCTTTATTATTCAGGGTAAAGCATGAGTAATCATTATTTGCAATTATGATTTATTAGGGCTCACCTTACAAAGGAAATTCTTAATTAGTCATCATTTACAAGAGTTCAACTGTTTTGTGCTTTCACCTCTTTTACTTTTAATACTTTATCTTTTGCAATTACACTCACATTTCACCTACCTACATCAACCACTTTCATGTCTAGAGCATCAGGGACACTTTAGCTGCTTTCAGATCCTACTCCTCAAATACCTCTTGAACCTTTTGCATACAGTACACTGAAAAAACTGACATGTTGACTTTATTTAAAGTGGACCTATCATGCTATATTTAAATGATATGTTGTAGGGCCATACCTATATAAGGTATATTTATACGTTTCTGTTTTCAAAATACCAAACAGATCATGCATTTTAGCCATAGCGCCACCGTCCTGACGTCAGGACAGTGTTCAAATCTGGATCAGTTTTGATCAGATCCGTTGCAGCCCCTTTTTTTAGAGATTTGGGTATGGAGGAAAATAGAGAGGGTTGTGTTTTCTGACACTTGGTGAGTTCCCTGGAACACCGGGGACACATATTCATGTATAAAAGACGTACAAAAGTGCATTTTGCATGATAGGTCCCCTTTAAATGTATTATGTCAACAAATTTCAAATAACTATATCAGGTTGGTTAAAAGCAATACTATTAAGTTGAACCTAATATTTTGGATTTAAACTTGATATTATTGCTTTCAACTAACCTAATACAGTTATGTGAAATCTGTTGACATACATTTAATTAAAGTCAACGTTTCAGTTTTTTCAGTGTAGTTCACATACAAACTGACTGCTCAACTGACTTGTACCCCTCTCCCACCAAAGCAGCTCCAGGGCTAGTTCAGAGCTCCAGAGGCTCCAGAGGCTCCTGGCCCCGAAAACCAGTTATTATCTGGCCCCACTCGACTGCCAGTCAAGCACCAATAATCGAATACGTCACGCTTACGTCGGAGGCTGAACAAAGTGACTACAACGCATCCCCACACTCTCATAAAAGACAAACTTATGTAACGTCAGGCAACACTAACCAGGCTTAGTGTGATTCTGTTTATTTTGACCTTACTTTGACCATCCGTTTGCTGTTATTGATCATTGTGGAGAGCAGGCAGACGTTTTCCTGTTGTATTGTATTTATAGTAGCTATTGGATGGAATCAATACAGATTGTAATGTCCGACTATCTATAAATAGAATCATAATGAAAAATAAACCAGTAAAATGTGCCTGTAGAAAACGGCTTATGCCACAATAGGATAGCAACAAGTAGTCAAGATAGTCAGATTAGCTTCGGTTGCTATGCTAACATCACCCATTTTATACCAGAGAAACGTTCTTACAGCGTTGTGATGCCAAACAGCATCAAATTATACTGAAACACATTCACTTATGGGGGGGGGGATATTTATCAGCTGCTTGTGGGACAGACAGACAGTGAATACTTTCCAGCCGCCGCTGCCGTGAGTTAACGGGAGACTAAACTCTGCCGTGAGTTAACGGTAGACTAAACTCTGCCATGAGTTAACGGGAGACTAAACTCTGCCGTGAGTTAACGGGAGACTAAACTCCGGTGGAAGAGCAGCACTGCAGCGGTCGGTAAATGCCGCTGAACCACATTAATAAACAATGAACCACGGCACTCTGGAGAAAAATATAAGGTTGGAGAAGTCGTTCTTTAATTTAATGGCTTTGTATGATTAAAAGCAACACGATCATCGACCCGAAGAAAAAACAGCGACGTAAATGGTGATGTCATGACGCAGCACCAGTCGGGCACTGAGCAGCGGAAACACAACTGGGGCTAAAAAGAAGAACCAGTTCGGAAACAGAAGAGCACTAGCACAGAGCTAGAACTGTAACTGGTGGAAAAGGGGTATTAGGGGCCTGGTGCTAGTGCTTTTGTGACACCACAATCCCTTTAAATGCTTACACTTGATTGACACATTAAACCTGCTTTAATATTGATGTTTGTGGCTGTAGGATGTGAACTCAGACAGGGTCCTCAGCGGCGCACAGTACAGGGGCTGCATTGTAGGGCTCACTAATGAATAAACAGACCGCAACCCCCTGGGGCCCTGTGCGTACCCTGGGTTCAGTCGCAGGTCCCACAGTCGGATGAAGGTGTCATAGCCGCAGGTGAAGAGCTGCGACGGAGACTCAAACTGCATGTCCAACACCCCGGCACCGCGGCGGAACCCCAGGCCCAGGTTGCCAACACACTGGGCTCTGGTGGATGACAGAGAGGAAAGAGGAGAAATCAATGTCAAATGTTTTTTTGTATTCACATTTTGCAAATATTTCAGAAACAAGTGCGAAAATGTAAAAATAAAATGCTCTATATTCCAATCTTGGGAGGGGAGCGATGTTGTCTTAGGTTAGGAGATAGATATGTCTCCATGATTTTAGTGCTAATCTGTAAATGAAAAACACCTTCCACAAATGCAGAAAGATTTCTAACCTCCCCAAAAATATTTCATTTACAAAATCAATCTGCAAATATACAAAGAAAACATATGAAAAATATCTGTGAATATATTAAATAGATTTACCAGTAAATAAAAAGCGTTAGTAAATGTCAGTCTAACATTTACAACTTTCCATCAGCATTTGTGAACTCATCAATTAATTTGCTGGTCCGAACGCAAATCTACGAGTGTCATTCTTACATGTTTGAATAGTGAGGGCCCAGTAGTTCAAAACTTTTAATCTCAATCAGATCCGATCAGATTTTGTGATCCAGGATCAGACAACTCGGCCAGATTTTGTCCCAGTATTTCAAAGCAATTCAGGATAGGATCACCCTGATCCAGATTCAGACTTTTCAAAATTACTAGATCCTGAATATCAGTGCTTTAATCCTACCGATCTCCATCTATATGAAAAATAATACAAGGAAGACAAGAGACCACATTGCAGAGACATCTATTGTCCGCAATTACTTTTGAAAGGTGATGACAGATGATGGACTTTATTTTGTTGAAGATATTTTTTCTTTAAAGGGGACATATCATGCTATATTTGAACAATATATTGTAGGGCCATACCTATATAAAGTATATAAATATAGTTTTTTGCAGGGGGTTGATTCTGTGAGCTGCAGCTGACCACGCCCCCCTGCAGGAGAGGGGAGCGTGCTTTGAGATCAGCTGCTGGGCTGTCAGAAGAGGGGGAGAAAAAGAGATCTCCGTCTTCCGTGTTTTATTCTTATATATGATTATATAGAGTCATTATTCATTTGTTTTAAAGCTCAATAAATAACAAAGAAGACCTTTGACCGGCACTTTTCTAATTTTGTCCGGAAGATTTAAACTTTAACGGACATCTTGACCGGCGAAAGAAACTGAAACTGAAACTCTGCCGCACGGTCCCCTCGTTCCTTGGAAGAGGCGGAGAGGTGGGTGTTTGTCATCTGCTGGTGGACTAACCGGAGAGAATTACAGTGCTTGCCTCGACGGGGAGGGATTGCATTGAATTAAAGCAGCGGGAGCAAACGCTTGCCTCGGGGAGGGAGAAAGAAAGCCACAGCGGAGAATAAACAGAAGGGTAACCATGGTAACTATGGGCGGGAAGTCTTCTTCGCTGCTTTTGAGGCAGACTACAGCGCCACTTACAGGCCTGGCATATGTACTACAGCGTCTCCAGCGCTTTCGAGCGGCAATGGCCGGCCGTGGCCCAACCCCACATTCCCCTGATAGGTGGAGAGTTGGCCCAATAGCCGTAGCGCCACCGTCCTGACGTCAGGACAGTGTTCAAATCTGGATCAGTTTTTATCAGATCCGTTGCAGCCCCTTTTTTAGAGATTTGGGTATGGAGGAAAATAGAGAGGGTTGTGTTTTCTGACACTTGGTGAGTTCCCTGGAACACCGGGGACACATATTCATGTATAAAAGACGTACAAAAGTGCATTTTGCATGATAGGTCCCCTTTAAATCAGGCTTTAGTTACACCTGAGTAAAATTCAGGGAAAGGTGATTGTCAAGTGCCAACAATCAGGAGAGATATTTGATAGTTGCTGCTTGAGAAGACTAAACATTTATCTGCAGATCCCTATAAAGTATATTCATTACTCGTTATTCTCTACTAATAGTTCATTAAAGACTGTATATAATGGCTATTTTGCATATCCCTTTCAAGATTTCAAGATTTTCTAAGGTTCATTGACATATCATACACAACTAATTCAATAACGTGCTTTAACCACTAGGCGGTGCACACAAGGTACACACAGCCATAATAACTTTGCATTATGAGTGTAGGACACTTGTGTATGTATAACATCTGAAGATGTGTAGTTTTATTCATGTTTTCACATAATTGTAAAGGATATTGCTATATTATTTCACATGTTTTACTTCTAATATCTGATTTGTAAAACATCACAGACAGAAAGGTATATCCGTCATTTAACAGTAAGCTATTGAAATTGTGATTCCATCGATGTGTCTCCCATCACCCAAATCCCCTGACTATTCTCTCAACTCAGTATTTACATTCTTATATTCAAAGAAAATCAGTAATATCTTTAAAAACTACAAGTCCTTTTCTATCAGCTGTGCACCGTTATGGTGTAAATATAACCTATCTACCAATTGGATCAAATATAAAAGTCAGCCGAATTAGTGTTGATACTGCAAGGAGACGTATTGTGTGAAAAGAAATGTAAGATGTTGTTTAATTGTTGTCACGTTTTCAGTTTTGGCGGCAGTTCTTCCTGTTTGTCCAGAAGTCTTCTCATCAGGGCTCTATAAATACAGAACTACTGCAGATATGTCATATTTAATGCAGCCGAACTGTGTATTACAATGCAGTTATGTGATGACCTCCAAAGAGAAAAGCAAGAACACTCGGAATAAAGTATTATTTTATTTTTAATTTTTTTTCCGGATTTCACATCAACAGTAAGTCCGGTTAACTAAAATGTCCGTGCGGAACAATACCCCCAACCCATAGATCCGTGGGTGAATAATGTCAATCACCACATTACACACATCCCTTCACATTTACATTTGAATTTACATTAAAGTATTTCGTGAGGCCTTCTAAAATGTTTTTAAATATAATTAGGGTTGTAGTTGAAGAGTTTGTAAATTGCTTTGCCTGGCAACGTCACGTCCGTTAATTCGACATCCACACCAGTCTATGATCCACACACATGGATTAACATCGATTTAATACATTAATGTAGCCTTTGTTTCTGCTAAAAGAGGTGTCGACCAGCTAGGGCAACAAGAACATCGGCGAAATCAAGTGTGACGATTAAAAAATTAATTAAAAACATCTCATTTTGACAATAAAAACCGACCAATAGGCGCGGTAGACCATTTGCTTGGCACTTCCGGGTATTTCTCCACTGGTTGGGCCATGTTAACAATACTGTGTAACTGTCACGTTTGAAGGGACGAAACCGTGACATATTCACGTCTCCCAGCATGGTAGATCGTCACATGTTCACGTCTTGCCGTGATACCGGGTTGGAAAAGGGTGTTATCTTTACTTAATTATGAATGTTGTTACATCAAGGCTGAAAATTCGTTTTTTTGTATTATATTTCCATTTAATCTTGTGGACGTGCAGATTCCCTGTCCTCCATCAGGGGGTGCTGCAGCACCCTCAGCACCCCTACTTCCCACGGCCCTGACCGTATAGCAGATCCAGAGATCCAGACTCGTCATGCACGAGCATAGCCGCGGGAACTGGGAAGTCATTTTACTTAGGGGGTGCGGCCAAAAGTGGGGAGAGATTTCAACAACAGTAACATGAAGTTTTTCAAATGTACACCATTCGCAGCCCCGCCTCCAGCACCCCTACTTCCCGCGGCTATTGTGCACGAGTCAACAGCAGACTCAGAGATTCGCAAATCCTGACTGCAAAACATACAGACTCGTGCGGACTCAGAGCCGTAACCGTATAGCAGCAGATCCAGAGATCCAGCAGACTCGTCGTCATGCACGAGTCAACAGCAGACTCAGATTCGCCAAATCGCAAAATAACCCTTTTTTTTTGTGATCAACATTTTTTATTAAAGGAGAGGTGTCATGGCCATTTCCACTGATCATAATTCCATTGTTGAGGTCTACTAGAATAGATTTATACTGTGCATTTTTCCAAACTCACATTGGTTTCTCATACAGCATCTCTGTAAACTACGTGTATTCACTGAATTTCACTCTCTGCCTTTAACGGCTCGTTGTAGCTCCAATAGCTCCAGCCCTCCACCCTCCCTGTGAGCACAGTGTGCTCTGATTGGTCGGGACGTTGTGAATCGCGCTGAGCTCCGTGGAGGTGTTGTTTCCTTGTTTAGGATACATAGCGAAACACAGCCACTCATCCTGAGCACACACAAAGTCACTGCCGAAGTAAAAACAATAAGTGTGGCTTGATATTGAGTAAGAAAAAGGTTGATAAACGCTGTGAGAATGGGTCTGCAGAGAGAATTTTGCCGCGATCCCAACTGTCTGTTATCAGCCTGCAGCCAGGGAGGAGAAATCAGCTGAGCTGCCTGCTCCCTGCACACAGATGTGTGTGTGAGGAAGTCCGTGGATTGGTCAATTTGCCATCTCTAGTGCTTGTGTGTCCGGGGCGGGAGATTCATGTGATTGGTTGTTGGTCGAGTTTCAGACAAGCTCACCGGCAAGCTTCAACGCACGCCGCCGTGTGGACGCTGCGTTACTGCATGGATGCTTAAAGAGAACTGGGTTGCGGTCGAATAGTCCAAAAATCAGCTCCTAAGTTCTAACCCTATCGTCTATTCCTTGACCTCAGAGTGAAACGTCATGGGGTTAAGGAATAGTGGATAGGAAAATTCAAAAGGACTTAGGAGAAGAGACTGCGGTACTTTAGAGAATCCGACTGCACTTTCACTATCCGACGTGTTTATGATGCGCCAGCGGAGGTCATAAATGTGCGCCTGCTGCTGTGGGGAAACTATGGAAACTACAGTTTTCTATACAGCGGACTACAACATGGATGTTTAATAAGAACGAGGGACTACTGTAAACTCATCTAGAGACTCTGCACCGTGCTCTGATGCTGTTGTTTTATGCTTTATGAACGGGGACAACAGAGAAACATATTCTTCATGACCAAAGTTGGAATTGAAATAAAAAAGGAAAGTGAAACTTATGCTCGTCACCCTCTCCCTCCGGTCCACATTAATACAAATGATCCCAATACGTATGATTGTATGAAAAGATCTTCAAATCAATACAAATGTATTTATTATAAAC